GTCATATGCTATGCTTCCAAGGCTTCCAAACGATGCCATCTACCCTACCTCCTGAATCATTTCAACCTGGTACGTCTAGCTCCCAAACTAGGCAAGCTGCTTGATCAAACTTGTGCTGTGTTCCGCAGTAATCAACATTATGGCATTCTTGTATGGGGTCACCATATATGCAAACTCTGCTTTGAAAATTTCTGGTGCAAGCCTGGGGGAGGAGGTAGCCAACACTTAATTATCACCAACAGTTGTAGATACAGATAATTTTAAATGGAAAGCGGAAAAGCTGTGCATACCTTTGGCCACAATGAACTTGTCCCCGCTAAAATTACAATCCTGAGGCAAAGCGTCTAACAAACGTATGCAGGTTGGAGATGAGAGAGGGAGAGAGCTCTGCGATCCCATCCAGCGCACAGCAACCGAATAGCTCCAATCTAAAAAAAAAAAGGCAAAATAGAAATATTTTAAAATTGCAGTCACAGTTTAAATGACAATAAGTCTATGCGTCGTAACAAAAATGATCTCATCAAAAAAGAGACACCCGGAGCTTCAACATTATTGAATTTCCCACAGAAAATCCCAGAGACTTAAGATACAAGTTTTGTTTAAGAAAGACTATATCTCAGGCAACATGGTTTTAATGATTTAAATCAGTGCTAAATTTAGCATACTACTAACTTACCATCATAACCACAAACCCCATTCCGTAGGAGGAAACAGCAAAGTACACGACTGTAGTCCACCAATTGGAAAAGGTCGAGCGGTGCAACTTGAAATGGACTTGACCTCCAACAAGGGAGAAGCACTTTTTCCTTGGCCAGGAGCCTGAAACAGGAATGATGTAATGATTAAATGTGCACAAACCTATCCTATAGACACAATAACACAGCAGAAAATGAGAACGTTTCGAATGTTTCAAACGGAGAAATGTTAAGATGCAAAATTGCAACATGCTAACATTCACAATCACATGTCTATCCGTCCTGTACGATAGCCGAAGCCGAAAGCGAGGCAGAAGAACGAGCAGCAACAGAAAACCTAAGTGAAAATAGCATAAGCACTTGAAGACTATGCGTATGCGATCAGCTGTCCAAAGTCGCCATCATCACGGAGAAGGCGTCAGGCGTGGCGCGATCTAGCGGTGACGGGAAGAACCTCGTCGCCGCTCGGTAGCGCACCACCACCGGCCTGCCTCCAGGGGCACGGTAGGCCGACCCGCAAAACGCAACTGCATTGGACTGCCTACGTGCCAGGCGCTTCGCCACGGCGAGCGCACGCGATGCCCAACACAGGCTGGACCCACTTCGGTGCGGGGTCTGATCATCCACCCTACATCCCGGGCATGCTGGAGGACACCCTCGCGATGGACCCGGACGGTACGACGGTACGTCCCCGACGAGGAGGTGCTCAGAGGCCTCAAACGGGCTGACTCGGACGGGGGCTCCCGGCTTGTAGCACGTGAGGCGCTGAGTATGAGCGCGCCGGAGCCCGCCCTCCTCCCAGAGCTCGAGCCCGCACCAGCCCTTCGCGGGCTCCGGCGGGCTGCCTGCCTGAGTTCTACCGATTCTGCGCTAGAATCGCCTTCTCTCATTGGCTGCCGGGACGGACGGGCTGGCGCGGGCAGGCTGGGGCGGGCTAATGCGGGACGCTCCGGAAGAGTTTTGGCCGAAGTCTACCGGACGGCGGCTCCGTCGGAGCAGACTACCGCTGCAACACTCTGACTGACCGAGCGGGCCGCGCGAGAGCAGCCCGCCCGAGCCAGCCCGTTTGAGGCCTCTGGAGGTGCTCGAGAGGTGGCGACGCGGCGATCACTAGCAGCAGGTCGAGACCATCGGGACATGGGGTAGCTGCCTGCAAGCACCTGCAGCAGGCACTGCGCTGGGCCGTACACGGCCAGGTGCGGGTGCGCGAGATGGCGCGCTGCAGGTCAGCATGCTCATCGCCATCGAAAGACACCACCAGGTCGTCCTGGACGACAAAGCCTTTCACGTTGATCTCGCGTTGTCGTAGAGCAGCGTCGTCTGTAGTCCAGGAAGAGCAGCTGCGGCACTTTGGCGCGCGCGATGGCGTTCAGCATATGCTGACGCTGCAGCGGGCAGCGAGGGCAGCACGCCGAGCAGCGGACGCACGTTCTCGTACCCCTCGAGGGCCAGCGCCGCTCCAGTTGGGACTGCTCCGACGAAGCGAGGGCCTCGACCAACACCGGCGATGAGGCCTTCCGCACAGTTCTCCAGGAGGACGTGGACACGCTGGCCTGGCGGAGGAACTCAATCGAACCGGTGCACTGCAGACTGCAGAGTCTCGGCAAGGCGGCAAACAGGGACTGCTCCTGCCGCAGTTCCAAACTTGCCACGGCGCACCAGGTCGAGGTCACGGCCAGGGTCGGGACTCGGCCCGTGACGGTCAGCCTCTTGAGGCACGGGGTCAGGAGCAGCAGGGTGCCCGCGCGGGGGTGGTCGTCGACGAGCGATCGGAGGCCCGCGGCGCAGTCGTCTGATTCAGAAGATCGTTCAAGGGGGGCTTTCCTATACCTCCCGTATAGCTCCGTCCTTGTTGCACTCATAGGGCAGGTATAGGAGAGCCCCTCTTGAACGATCTTCTGAATCAGACGGCAGGGCGAGGCAGCATGCTGCCGCCTCGTGTGCAGGAGGCTCTGCGGCTTCGCCCTGCTGCCGCCTGCAGCCGAACGTGACGGTAAGGTGACGGGGTCTGGAGTCTAGCGAGGAGCAAGCAACTGCTGCCTTCCGAACCAGGATGTGAAGCGCGGGATTCTCCGCGAGCGTACAAAGCCTCTTCGCCTGGTGATAACGGTGACGATGCCCTCACCCGCGTCCTGCTCCTACTGCTCCTAGTTCTCTAGACCTTCCTGCGTGGGACTCTCGGCGTGTGACTGGTTGCCTACCCACCTCGGCGGTGGCCGGTGAGTTTGATGGGTTGCCTAGTCAGCAGGCGTCCTTAGATGTTCGGCGGCGCAGGGCAGGCGTTCCGTTTGACGACCCTGTGTAGCACCGCGGTAGGATGTCGATAGGAACTCTCTTCAAGTCCCTTTCTAATTTTGTTGCTTCAGTCTGCAACAGAAAGGTGGAGCAGGGGGTGTGGGGTGGGGCGTGAGAACACCGCGATGCATCCCCCCCCCCCTTTTTTTTCCAAACGGTATCGCGCCAGCCCTCGACCAGTCCACCGACCTTCAGGAATGTTCGACACTCTCGCAGGTCCACTCGCTTTGCCCTCGCTTCTATCCAGGAGTCGTCAGAAGAAGTACTATTTGATGACATTGCTCCACTGCTCTCTGCTCTATGGTAGCCGCGAAACAATCCCAATAGGCAAACGGGTGGGTTGCGCGCAGGTGTCGTCGCAGTCGTCGCACAAGTGAGCGGCGGCCATGGGGACCAGCCTGCTGCTGCTCAACGTGCTCAACTTGCCCATCTCCAACAAACTCGCCTGCAGCACTGCACAGCACCAGAGGGTGAGGACCGCCTGCAGGCGCGTGCAGACCTAGCCCCCCGAGAATGACGTCGGAAACATAAGGATGCCCCCCCCCTTTTTTCCCCCACCTCGTTTCCCGGTGCGGGCATAAGGGGATGGACGTTCGGTCTGGTGGCAGAGCAAGGACAGGCAAAAGGACTACCACCCCACCCACCCCGCAGTGCCGCTTTGTCCGCCGAGGGAAGTCCCGCTCGTTATTCCTGAGCTCGTCCGCGTCGTCGATCTCGTCTCCGCCAAGTTGGAGAAGATCATGACGCTCTGGCAGATGGCTCCTGCCGTGTCCTTGGCCGTGCCGTGCCGGCCATAGGGCAGGACGGCGAGGAGGCGCTGGACCGCCAGGGACACGTCGCTCTCCCAGCTCGGCCAACGTTGGTTTCAGCCGTGCCGCGCCGCCGCGGCCCCGGTCCTCGCGGGCGTCATGCCCTGCAGCAGCTCGGCGACGCTCTTATTCGCGGCGGGGGAGAGCAGCGGGACGGCTATGTTGGTCTCGGCCGTGCCGCGCCGCCGTCTGCGATCACTGCCAGGTCAGAACTACCGGACACCGGACACGGCCATCGGCCATGGTCGCCTCGCATCACCTCTACCGCTCCCCACTCGCCCTCCGCGCCTACACGCCAGTGCGTATGCCACGGCCGAGGTCACATCGTCGAAGTTGACCCGCGCTTCCCTTTCGCCTTTCGCCGTCACGAGGATCGTGCTTTGGACGACTACAGTCGTAGCTCCCCTGACCTGCCGTCGGTACAGCGTGCGGCGCTAGGACTTCTCTGGGTCGGGCTGGGCGTGGATGTGCTGACCAGGACCTCCGGGTCCAGGCCGCGCGTCGTGGCCGTCGTATAGTGTATTTCGGCTAACGGAGGAAGAAGAAAAGCGGGTAGAACATAAACGTTTCTGGTTGGTCGAGAGCTTCCCGCCTCTACGTCACACCGG